TTTTAGTAGAGATGGGGTCTCGCTCTTGCTCAGGCTGGTCTCGAACTCCTGACCTTGAGCGATCCACCTGCCTCGGCCTCCCACAGTGCTAGGATTACAGGCATGAGCCACCGCGCCCGGCCTAGATCTTCGATTTCTTTCATCAGTGTTTTATAGTTTTCTGCATATAGATCCTGCACATATTTCATTAGATTTAGACGTTGGCACTTTTTTTTTTGGTGTTACTGTAAATGGTAATTCTTTTTTCTTATTACAAATTCCAGTTGTTCATTTCTGGTATGTAGGAAAGCAGTTGACTCAGTTTGTATACTGACTTTGTATTCTAAAACTTTGCCAAACTTATGTGTAGACTTTTTTGGGTTTTCTACATAGACAATCATACATCTGCAAATAAAGGCAGTTTTACTTCTTCCTTTCCAATCTGTATGCCATTTGTTTCTTTTTCATGCTTTACTGCACTAGCTAGAACTTCCAGTACAGTGTTAAATAGGACAAGTGAGAAAGGACATTCTTATCTTCTTCCTGACTTTATGAGGGAAGCATTCAAGTCTCTTACTATTAAGTGTGATGCCAGCTGTTGGTTTTTGGTACATATATCCTTTACGAGGTAAAACAAGTTCCCTTCTGTTCCTAGTCTTTTGAGAGTTTTTATCACGAATAAAAACTATCATCCCTGCTGAATTTTGTGTAATGCTTTTTCTTTATCTGTTCATATGATCATATGGTTTTTCTTATTTAGTCTTTTAATATTATGCATTACATAGATTTATGAATGTTTAACTGTGCTTATATTCCTGGGATAAACCCCACTCGATCATGATGTGTTATACTTTTGATAGATTAATGGATTCAATTTGCTGATATTTGTTAAGGGTTTTATGTTCATGTTCCTGTGAGAAACTGGTCTGTAGTTTTCTTGTAATGTCTCTATAGGGTAATCTGGCATTGGAGAATGAGTTGAGAAGTATTCCCTCCTCTTCTATTTTTTGGAAGAAATTGTGTAAAGTTTGGTATTATTACTTCTTAAGTATCTGATAGAATCCACCAGTAAAATCGTATGTGTCTGGTAATTTTTTTTGTAAGGTTTTAAACTACTAATTCAAACAAATGACATGCATTATAAGATTGTAACTAATGCAGCATACTCTTTCTCCTGAAATGTGCAAAATATTTCTTCAAAAAATTTTAAATGTGATGTTAACAATGTACCAAAATACTTTTAATTCAATTATTGTTAGGGTCAAGGATATAAGATAGTCTGAGTAGAACTGTGACTATCGATTGGACTTCTGAATCCTCTCTGAAATTGAAGACTCATCTTCCCACCACACAGAGGAAGGTTTTCCCTCCTTCCTCAGAGCTCACGTCTCCAAAGCAGCACGCCTAGCTCTTCATCGCTTCTTCTCCTATCGTCCTGTTGTGAGGGTTTCAGCTTTCCAGGGGTTGGTCTGTGTGCACAGTCAGGACAACATAAGTAGGAGGAGACCTTGGACCCTTGTATTCTGTGAAAGTTTGGTTTTTCTTTTAAAGTTGCTCCAGGTATGTCTGTGAAGACTGTTCTTTCCACTTGCTCCTTTCCACCCTGCCCCATGACTAATGATACGCTGTTAATTTTTTAGAGTAACCAAGGAGCAAAATCAGTAAAGTCTATTTAGATGTTGTTGAACGAGAGGAAAAATGGCTCATTAACAGCCTCAGCCGGTCTGTCCCCGCCCAGGAACAGATGTGCAAAGTTCCGCCTTGTGTTTCCATTGCCTCTCCGCTTCTGGCTTCACGTCAGGGTCCTTTCCTCCTGTTCTCTTGTGACCACAAAAGAATCCAAATCCAATCCCAAAGTTAATTATTAAACATGTCCGGTGGCACAAATGTCAGAAAAGCTGGACCGAGCGCCCTGCGGGGACCCGCTGCCTTGCCCGTCACTTTCTGGCCTCCTGCTTACGCGTGCTTAGCGTGAGCGCGCTTCAAAATCAGCAAAATAAATAAAGATTTGCAAATTAGCAAAAAAAAAGCCAAAAAATCAGCTACCACAAAAAACCGCATTAAATGATAACACTTAATGCTGGACAGTAAATGGTTGCATTTTAAATTGGCCAAGGCTTTTGTGACAATCCCACTCCTAGGAAGTCGTCGTAAGGAGCTAGTCCCACAGAAGGAAGCAGCGCTGCGCGGATGCGTGTAGCGCCGGAAGTGACGTAGCTGCCCGTCGCGCCGCTGCCCTGCAGCCCCAGACGGAGCCACAGCGCGGGGCTCGGCGGCAGGCGCGGGGGGCAGCACAGCCTCGCCACAGTGGCCGCTGGGTGGGCGCCCCGGAAACGACAGGTGTAGTTTAGGAAAGTGGAAATTGTTTTAACAGCGAAATTATCAGTCACTTTTTCTTTTTAAAGCTTTTTTTAATGCTGTCATATTAAAAGATGAAAGGGGTGGGTGGGAGCTCATGTCTCCTGTTTTCGGGAGGGACGGTATCTCCCAGGCGAAAGGGAAGAAAGGGCTCTCCCCTCACTCCACACAGGCAGCGCCGTCCGTGTGGCCATCACCTGCCACCCGTGTAGGTGGAGGCCTTCCAGGCAGCGCTCGCCCTGACCTGGACCTGCGTCCCTTAGCGGGGGGTCTGTGATGTCCCCCCTTTGTGACCTGTCCCCCTCCCCTGCAGGAGCTCAGCGAGATGCTGTACACGGACCGGCCCGACTGGCAGAGCGTGATGCAGTACGTGGCCCAGATCTACAAGTACTTTGAGACGTAACCCTGGAGGGCCTGAGAGCAGCCGCCATTGAGCCACCTGCTGTGGTTTGTCCTGAGGGCACCTGGTCACTGTCCACCCAGCCATCCACAGCTTCAAAGGAAGGCTCCATGCGAGTGGACCGACACGCAAATAACAAACAGAGCGGGGCCCCCCACACACGGATCTCAGATGCAGGTGCGCTGTGGAGTGTGAATTGGGGACACTCTGCTCTCCTGCGGGACGCTGCTAAGAGGACAGCTTCCCCCCTTCCACACCTAGATCCCACAGTCGGGCTCGCTGCGCCCATCACCTCGGGTGACTTACATGCAGTCCGCACACAGACTGATGACGCACCTCTAGATCAGTCTCTTGTTTGTAAAAATACCCTGACTTTTGCCTGTATAAAAATTTTGCCCTTGCTAAATCCCCCCCTCCACTCCTGGCCAAAAAAACACCAAAAACACAGAAAATGAAGCATTTGCTCCAGGGCAACCTGAAAACACATTGGCCCTTTTTGGGCAGTGTGCTCAAGTTCTAGGTAACAACGTTAAAACCTAGAACTTGATTACATTTTTGAGATCTCACTGTCTCTTATTTGATTTATTGTATCCAAAATAATGCAAAAGTAAAGCCCCTGGGTACTTCGCTGAAGGGGCCCTGTGAGATGTCCCACAGCTGCCACCACCCAGCAGATCATTTACACACTGACAGGGAAACCGCAGCCTCCGCCTGCACTGTTGTCCTCCCATTCAGTCACACCCCCATTCACACCACACATAGGACTTGACAGGAAGCCACTTGCGTGCAAAGTGGCCCATGCCTGTCAGTCCTCATGGCTTTGCACAGTTAGGCCGAGGACCTGTGACTCCGGGATAGTGGGCAGACAGCAAACCGACACCACGTCCCAGTCTAGACTGACTTAGTCTTTAGTACTTCATTAGGCTCTTACATTTGCATGGCAAAAAGGAGCCCTTAGGGGTGGACGGTGATGGCCCCATTGGTAGCGCGCCCCAAAATCCTGCTGGTTACCCTGAGTGGCAGCAAAGCCCTCCCCAGAGCTGCCCCAGTCCCTTCAGAAGTGCTCGGTCAGCCCAGGTAACCGTCTGGTGTTCTTCTGTGCAGTTCACACAGGCAGTTGAGGCAAATGTGTAATACCTGTCACTTGATGTTGGAAGTGCCAAATAGCTGTTAGTGCCCTCCTGACAAACATCATCCTTGCAGTAAGTCACTGAGAATTACAAAACTGCCGTCATCATTTAAAGTAAATCTCTGATTGCTGATCTGACCCACATGTTCAGAGCTGGATCCTAGAGGATGCAGATCCAGTCCCTGTGCTGGGAGCGGCATGGGCTCTGTCCCCTCCCTCCAGGCCAGACCTTTGCAGAGGTGGCAGCTGGGCTCCGCAGGCCCTAGGACAAGAGACTCTGCCTCCTGCCCCTCTTAGTGGTTCTCGGTGTGCGGGATATCAGACTCTCCTGGGGGACGTTTCAAAAACACACTCCTGGCCGGCCCCATCAGTTGGTTCAGAACATCTGCAAGGGGACCAGGGATGCATTCTATATATTTTCAAAGTTCCCTGAGCGACTCCAATGCACAGCCATGTTGAGAACCACTGAAGGGGAGGGGCACCTTTCGTAGGCGGCCAGAGCTCCTGGGTAGCTGTTTGGCTGTGGTCATTACATCATGGGCCTCTTTGTTTTGATCAGTTCTCTGTTTTGACTAATTGTGTGTAAATGATCTAGAACCAGCTCTGGGGAAGCAGTCTTTATGCCGGGTGGTTTTGCATTTCTCTCGCTCCACACTGGGTGGTCCCAGCCCCTCTCCAGCGGGAGCCCACATTGCCACTGACTTTGGCCAAACTTATCCATTCTTGTTTGTGTACTGCTCCCTATGGGCTAAAAAGGAAGGAAGTGTCATATGAAAGAAAGGCCGTGTGCAAGTTGTTTTTATGACTCAAGGAGGCTCCCCAACTGCCATTTTCTTTGCCAATGGGCACACGTGTAGAGGAGGAATGAGCGTCCTGTCCATAGAGACACAGGTGGCATTTTGGGGCAAGTGGGCAGGTCTGGATCTGCCGGGGTCCTGGGGCCATGACTGATGGCCTAAGGGGTGCAGGGGACAGGCCTTCCAGCACAGCCAGGTTCACCCGGGCTGGGCCAAGGGGAGGGTTTTTAGGTCCGTTTTTAACAGGAGAGCTCAGAGTACCAGGTGAATGTGGAACGTCAGTAAACTGAGAAAGCAAGGTAGCGTCTTCTGTTTTCTTCTACTCAGCAGCTTGTACCGTTCCCAGCGTTCTCTCCTGAGGCTGTCAGAGTCCGCAGTAGCCAAGTTTCTTTCCGTCTTGCCTCAGCCAACACTTGGTCATTTATAATTGTTGGTTCTGCAGATCCCTTTTAAAAAAATGTGTAAGTTTTATATAAAAGACATCTGCAAAATTCAGACGCAGAAGAGTGGAGGAGTTTTTTAAGATGTAAAGAGAAGTCTGTGGCTCTCTGCACTGTGAGTTGTTTCCTGGACTGAATTTTAGTTGACCGATGGTAGCACTCTGGCCCCACCCTGCGGGGACGACATTCTGAAGAACTGCTCCCATCCTAGTCCCTTCTCACTTCAAAAACAATGTCAGCCTTTTGCTTTCCTCCTTCTTTCAGTTGTTGTTTTGCAGCTTTTATAGAGATGCCATAGGTGTTGGACAAAACACACATCCCCGAGGGATCCATCCTCCCATCCCACTTCCCCACGGCGGGGCAGACCAGAGATGGAGGACTCTCGCCGCCAGATACAGACCCCTTTGCCAAACCCAGCAGTGGTTCTCACCATTCCCAAGCTCAAGTGCCATTTTCAGATGACCTGACAGTGACATGCATAAAGGACATTACCTAGCAGCCTTTTTAAAAAGTATTTTTAACATCTACAGTTACCCAAATTCACTGGGTGTTTCACTCCCTGGACCCAGGCTAGAGTGTTGCCGAATCTATAACATCCTGAGTAGCTCACTAATTTCAGCTACGTTAGCTGAACGCAGTTGGTGCATCTGTGGCCTCGTTCCTATAAAGAGCACACTAGATTGTACAAGCACTGTCAGGGTATGACGTGCTAACATGGATGTATTTAACTGCTAACAGGAAAGTGTATGATGTATGTGTAATATTTCTAATAAATATATTTTGTTTCTGTCTGATTATGAACTTTTCCCCAGTGACATTTATTGTTAATATTTTCTCAAAGTGCTGAGCTTACGTGGAGTCTGCTTTCAAACCGTGTCTTCATGCACGTGCTCCTTGTCAGGTCTCGGTCGCCGCTGCAGCTGCTCTCGCAGGACGTGCTGGAATTCCCACAGAGGACTGGGGTCCCCACCGGCCCCTCCGCCTCCTCCCATCTTGCCGAGGCTGCAGGCACTGTGAGGATCACCCCCGCAGGACGCTGCCAAGCTGTGCGGATGTGCAACTGCCGTGTGCAGTGTCACGCTTGTGACCAAATGCCAACTGAGACCCTGGAACCCCCACGGGTGTTAAGCAGGAGGGAATTATGCCAAGATTGAGGAGTTGGGTGAAGATAAATTATAACAGGGATGCCATCGTGCTCTGACACCAATGTGCCACGTGTGCCAACTCAGCAGGTGTCACTCGGAGGCCACTGCAGGGGAGGCTGGAAATACCCTCTACCCACTTTAGCTCGTAAGTGGGCTCTCCTGCTGGGTCTAGGAATCAAATCGACACAAGACGGATTCACAGGGAAAAGCATACAAGTTTTGTTAATTTTTACATGTACAGGGCGCCCTCCAAGAGAGTGAAGAACTGAAGAAATGGCCAGAGCAGGAAGCTTTTATACTTTTGGGACACAGAGTGATAAATGTGTGAAGAGATGACAGGACAAAGCAGTCTGGCTAGAGGCAGTAAATTCTAGGAAGTCACTAGGAGACACCTGGGGGTGGAGAGCTCGCCGAAGACAAGGGTCTCGTCAGCGAGTTTATTGCACAGGTCCCTGCAGCAGCAGTTCCCAGGCCCTGGTGAGAAAGGTTATTTTCTCACCTGGTCTGGGGAAGGCATCTTAAGGGAATTTTCATGGCCTGCTCCGTGGAGGAAGGGCGGGGCAGACGGCGCTTTCTGCAACCACAGTCTCTCAAGGGCTTTCAGCTCTAAATAACCAATGTGCCAAATCGGCATGCTTGGGGGCTCGCCCTTCACTCCCAGGCCACGATTCACTGGTGTCTCAGGCCAGCAGCTCAGCCCACCGGGAGGAGAAAGGATCTTCACTTCTCCTTCCTCCTCCCAGGAAAGCTCCTCAGCCCTGGCCTTTGGCTCCTGGGGCCTCTCTGTCCCCTCAGACGAGCACTGTCCCCGATAAGGGATTATCACTTGTCACCAAGCCAGGACAGCAGCCACCGCTCGTTTCCCTCTTGGGCTGTCAGGTGACAGGAGAAACTGTGTTCGGGAGATACCAGGTGTCATTCACTCAACATCTGATTACCTGTGGCCGTCTTCATCTGCTCAGTCTGTGCACACAGGCATGTGCACACACGTGTGCACACGGGCATTTTATGCATGGCCAGTGTCTAAGCACTCGTGATGAGTTCTTCCTTATTTGCCCTGGTTTCAGGCCCACCAGGGAGGTTCCTGTCCTGGGGGCCTGGTCCCCAATGTGCATGAAGCATCACCACGGACACCCTGTGCCTGAGCTGTCTTAGCGCCAGCTTTGCAGACACGCGGGCCTCGGTTTGCGACAGCCACTTAGCAGCGCTGAAGCCACAGGGCACCTTCCTAAGCCTCTCTGGCCCCCATTCCTTATCCAGCAATGGAGGGGACACACCTGCCCCAGGCAGTGGTTGTATAAGATGAGGTATCGGGTGAGAGCCCCCCAACAGGTGCTCACCGTGGGTGTCCATGGCAGTGGTCCCTGCTGCTCAGGAGCACTGGGCAGCCATGGCACTCGATCACCCTGTTTCCCCTGCCCGCAGCTGGCTCTTCCTCCTCTGGGTGAGAAGGGCTTGGATTCGTACCCTGCACGTCCTGTTACGCACTCTGAGCTTGGACGCAGAGCTGCGTGTTTGCTCATGATGCCTCAACCTAATGCGTAGTAGATAATTTTTGATTAATTGGTGGAAGCATCCAGCTACCACTCACTCTCATTCTGACTTGTAATTCCTTACTAAACTGTGCGGAATAAACGCCTCACATCCAGCCTGGTTTCAGGGGCTGCAGCCAGTCTTGTGAACA